CATATTTGTGAAAACTTACTAAAAGGACATGAGGATATAATGATGACATTCAGAGAATATCAAATCTCAACGATTGGTAATAATATAAAAAGATATGTAAAAAAAAAGGAAAAAAAAAAGAGAATCGACTACTTTATATTGGCATGGTTGAATCGAAATGTCCTATATCCAAAGGTATTCTGATCCTTTCAGATAATGGTCAAATCTTTGTTTATATCCAAAAATGAGGTGATATATAGAGATATGCAACATATCAACAAAAAATTTCCTATTTTGGAACTTTAAGGAAAATGATGAATTTTAATATAAACTAGAGAAAGAAGAAAAAAATTGGAGAACAACTTCCCCATGCCATAAGGCTGAAGCATCAATTCAAAAGAAAACAATGTTTTTACACATTGCACTAAGATTAAAGGGTCTGAAGCATCAATTCAAAAGAACTTTTTTTTTTTACACATTCCACTAAGATTAAAGGGACTGTGTATATACTGGATATAACTATTATAAGTAAGTTCACATATGTGTGGGAAGTCAGGATTTGGGCTAAATGGTTCAAGCAGTTTACATGGTAGTACAGTAATAAATGATCTAGCTATCTCATGGCATTAGTCGGAAGCATTCTAAACTCGAGCAAGACAGTGTGATAATTTTTTGGAGATGAATCTATTCTATAACACTTTTACTTTTGTGTGGTTTCTACCAGGGAAGACCGGATTAGCCGATATAATTTATAATATATATATATATATATATTATAAGTATTTAAATTTTTTTGGAAAAAGTATGTATGCGAAGTAGTGATGAACATGTACAATAAGAAATATGAAATAAACTGAGAATATTTTTTCTCAACCATGTGTAATATATATGTTGAAAATCTTATTATCTTTAGCCAATATATTATTTAGATACTAAACTATCAATCAATAATATATTTGGGGTTTGCATGCTGATTGAAATAACCACATCCGAATCTGCATTTGATTTTGCTCTGATTTTAATCAAACTCACATAAAATGTACATTAGTTTAATTTTTACAAACAAAATCTTGATGATTTGACATGTAAAGTTTCTAGATTGCGAAAATGAAATGGGATGTATAATTTTGTGAATGAACCGACAAGAATATTATCTAAATAACCCGAATAATGGTCCATTTAGAGGAACATATTCTAGTGATGGATAATTCTAAGTTGACTATATTTAGCCCATGCGAAAAGCAAAGATATAATTTTAGAAATCAATAAGCATATATTCCTTCTCAAGGGTTATAAAAAGAGAGCAACATGCATGTGAGGAATGAGACATATAGAGAGTTACAAAAGTGTATAATGAAGAAGATAGGTCTAACATGGCAGAAAGAGTCATGTTTAGTAGCCAAGGATGACTTGCCTAAATCTTTTTTCACCACCAAGATTCAATTTTATGTTCATGGTTTTTCGATTATTATGCAATTTAAGGGTATAATAATTTGAAATCATGTTGAATCTTGTGGGTTAGGTTTTAGGCAGTCTCCTTGGCTATCTTGACATGCTTTTTTCATTCATGTTATACCTTTACTTCTTTCTGTCTTCCAAATAACAACTATATATTCAATACAAAAAAATCAGTCATTGTTAGAGTACTGTTATGTGTACTGTTGTGTGGTGAGTGCACACATTGTTTAGAAGGAGATGTCAAAGATGAGTTGGAGAATCATATTTGGTAGCCAAGGATGACTTGCCTGTTTCTTTGAGTAAAATGGTTAGTGTAGTCATGTTTGACAAGTGAGTATAACTTATATAAAGAAATGACCATTCTGCTTATAATAAGATATCAGGCAGTCTCCTTGGCTATCCTTATATGTTCTTCTCTTTCATCTCAGACGTTCACCTTCATCCAAAATAGGAAACACACGACATGAATAATCATGGAAAGACCATGTTGATGGTTTTTTAAGGCTTGTTTGAATGTTTATAGGGACAAGGTATTACATTTTGTGTATTAAAATAAAACTATTGTGACCAAATATTGATATGTTGTGAATCGTAGCGATATTCAATTTTTCTTTGTACCACCTTGGATTATGTGGGAAGAGTCATAATCGTTTCAATTTTAAAGTGAATTCACTTTGATACTCTCTCCGTGAACCAACAAGATCAGGAGGATACAGCTTAATGCACCTGATCCGATGAATATATCCCACCAACTTCTCAAATGAGTCTTGCAAATCAAGTTTCATGGAAGCTCTTATTAAGGTATGTATGGTCCAAATGTAACCTAGGACATCCTCGTGGAATGTAGATTGGACTCTCTCAATATATGGTGATCAAACCATGGAAGGTAATATGTTCCATGGGTTATATACTATTATATCATACTCGACTAGGGTCTAGGTAGGTATTCAGAGAAATCAATTCTCAAGAGACGTTGTTGTCTTTCCAATATATTGTAGGGAGGAATATATAGTAAACAGGTTCTAAATCAATTTTGTAAAACAGGAACTCATATGTGAACCAAAAAGCACCAAGTTATGCATCGACTGCCCTAAGTGTTACAAAAGAAGGCGGTCACCAATCTTATGATATTGCTCGAGTCAGTCCCTCCTACAAGAGGCTTTCTTAAAAGGCTAGCTTGTTTTTATATCTCTACTGGGACAAAATTATTTGTGTTATCTTTGCTTCTTTGAGGCTTATTTGTTTATATAAATTATATTGAAGATGACAAAAATACTATGTATACCTATTTTGTATGGTACATTAAAAAGGTTAATATGAGATTTAATTCAAATCGGAGACATAGATCTTACAAATGTAGAATCTTGACCATGAAGTCTAACGTTACGAAAAAGCCAACCTTAAACTATAAGAGCAAAACAAAATGTTTCATGGTCTTCCCGAATTCATTTATGTGCGTCGAGAAAGCAAATTACTAGACAGTGGGAGACGACATATTTACTACCTCGAAATAAGAAATGTCGTATTCTTACTGAGTTAAAACGAATTGAACATTGTCTCGTTAGAGTCCCACATTGAGAGAAACAAATATCTTTTGGACAATATAAATAGTGTAAGAGATTTTTCCTCTCTTGAGCTAGCTAGCTTTTGGGTGTGAGTTAGGCCATTACCAATATAGTATCAAAATCAAGGTTCAATTTTTTTCGAACGTGAATTATCACCCGTGGATATCTAGTTCCACAAACTTCACACTTTAAATGTCCAATCATCATGAGCGTGAGGGAGACATGATAAATGGATAATATTTAAGAATATTTCATCGGCCAGCTGATTGATGAGCTAACCCCCGTATGTTCAAAAGCTCTTTTTTATCAACTGATTTTAACCTATCCATAAACCATAATTACTATTACATTCAAACATAAATTATATCATATTGATATGTGTTCGTGTTATTAGGGATACAATATCCCACATCGGAAGGTGGACAAGGATCATGACCGTATATAAGATAATGGGTCTTTTCACTAATTGCCAATTGGTTTTAAGTTGGAAACCCACAATCTAATATGGTATCAGAGCCCCGATCCATGTATGTTCACACTACAAAAAAATGATCATTTTGTATCACTTAAACTGTATCAATTAAGTAAATGATATAATTATAAATCATTTATATATAAGTGAAGCAAATATATTTATTTAGCATCAATTAATTTAATTGATGTTATAATGATTTATTTTAACATCATTTTACAAAAAAATGATTTAATCTTTATAATATTCTATCAGTTTTTAAAAATTGATGTAAAATATAAATATACATCATTTAGATAATTGATGTATTTAATTATGTTTTGTAAAATCACTTTTTAAACGATTTATTATTATTTTTGTTGAAAAAAAATGATTTATTATATTACATCATAAAATACTGATGCTAAAATAAATTATATTAATATAATTAATATATAAAAACAAAATTAGATCTAAAAACGTAGAATAAAAACAGATCAAATTAACATCACCATTGAAACAAAACAAACCTAATTCTAGCTACTTCTATCTCTTTTCTTCTTGGAATTTTCAACATAGATAAGATCCTTCATCATCAAGTAAGTTTTTTTTTTAACAATGATTCTATATGACTAGTTCTTACCATCTATTATGTTTTTTATTTTTTCTAAATAGCTTTCTGTAAAAATTTTCTGCAAAAAAAACCCAACGTTACTTGGTGTTTTTAATTTTAAAGGGTTGTTTATATGATTAATCGTTCCTTGGTGTTATGTTATATGAACATCATCATCTGTTGTTCCTTGATGACTACGATACTTGACATATAGTTTTAGTAATAAACTCTGTTTCTACATCTTTGTTAAATGCATCAATTTGGTTTCAGTTTATTTTGTGATATGGTATACGTAATAGTAAAGTTTAGCTGTTGTTTTATGAAGGGGACAACCGAATTGATCTTGCTTTTCTTGGGCGCACACACTACTTAGGAGGATGGGTTGATAACCCTCTGCAATTTGCTTACCGCTTCACAGCATCTTACGAAAATGAACAGATATTCTTGTTGCCCAGCCCGCATCTTCCATCGATTAAGCCTGGCAGTACACCATTTCCGCCTTCACCAAGTTCCTTTTATGTAGCCACTAGCGAGAGACCGCTTTTGCTGCTAAACAAATACTTTGCTAAGATGCGAAAGTCAGTACAAAATAACACTGGTGAGAGCTCAGCTATATCTCAGCCACTTCACCAACCTGTAAATGCTCCCCTACGTACTGAGACAGACAAGTGGTTCTACTCTTCTATCACTAAGCTGGAAAAGAACCAAGCACGTCTTGAGAGAAAACTAGCATGTCAGGAATTGATCATCACTAAACTGACGCGCGCTGTGAAGAAATATGCTCCTGCACTCGTGTTTCGACGTTCGACCAAAGAGAAAGACCCACGTCAGCACCATTCTGATGGAGATTTAAGCGATACTAGTCTCGACTTTCCTTTTGTTTTGGAGGAGCACGATCTTCACACACATGGTGCCACCCGTGAACCACCAGTTGCAGCTGGACCATCAACTCTAGAAGACGACACACCGTCTTCCTCCGATGACGAGTTTTAGCTTAGGTAATACCTTTACAAAAATTCTAAGAATTTCTAGATTTTTCTATGGACATCCAATTCCAGATAATCTGAAATTATTTGCTTTTCCAGCCACCTAAGAGTATTTACTATTTGAGTTCAATAAAATAGTTTGGTTGTTTGGTTTTGTTTTCAACGACAATATTAAGAAAAAAACATATTTCATATGAATTTCAAGATAAAAATCGAAAATGATAACATGATTATAATTTTTCTTCTTTTGCTTTTAAACTCCAACTCCACCTTACGTTTTATTGAATTAAATAAATAAACATACTCATCAAACACAACCTTCAAAATTAAAATAGATATGATAACTAAAACTGGTTGAGCACCTAAACTGATCAACAACTAGTTTTCCTACATATCTTTTAATAAAATCTAGGAAAATTTATTCAACAAAAACTTATTAAAAATGATCTGGCATATAAATTCTAAGCATATCTATTATGACTTTCTGGGTTCCTTTGCCGGGGTGAAGCCGTCCATCTTCATAAAAAAATGTTTTGTTCAGATCAAATTCATGTTGAATTTTTTTTCCTGGCTCCATTTCTTGAACAACTTCATCTTTAGATTGAAAATATTCTCCTTCTTAAAAAAAAAGCGGTTTGTTCAGATCAAATTCATGTTGAACTTTTTTCTTCTGCTCCGTTTCTTGAACAACTTGTACTTCTTCCACCCTTTGAACATTTTTCGACTGAATCGTTTCTTGATTCATCACAGTTAAAAGTTTAGTGACAAAAACGAAATCTTCAATTAAATTAGATAAGGTATCTAGTGAGAGAACAATAGCTGAATAGCATACAATGAACAATCTAGTAACATAAATACTTAAAAGGAATAGGTAACGCTTAAGCCAAACAAACTAGTATTATTTTTCCTTAGATATAGGAAGATTTATTCTATATTGACTTAACTAGTTATTTTGCTTAATATTAGGAGCTTATTATTTTTTTTTCTATTTTCTTCATGATAATCTTTTTCTTAGTTTACAACAAACTTAAACACGTACAATCTTAATTTTTTGATTAAGCATTTATTTTCTCTCACACAAATAACAAAACATCATAATATACATCTATTTCGTCTAAAATAAATATATTTTCAGATCCCGCTTAATTTTAGCCCAAGCGGGAAATAATTAATTTCTTTTAAATGATCTAATTAAAACTAAATAAATCTCAAGATGAAAAACTGCTGTGTAATCTCAGAGAATCTGAAGGTGACGACGTGAATTGGTTTGGACAATCTAATCTTTATATATTTTGCAAATCGTTTAATCTACTGTTAATTTGTTTTCTTTTCTATTCTTTTACCTAGTTTAGCGATCACGATCATGGATTTCATGGATTCAGAAACACAAACACCTGATGATTTACCACAACTGGAAGCGGATCACAACATGCCTCCTCCACTTGCTCCAGAATGTAAAAGCTACAAATGGAAATGAAAAAACTATAGAAGGATTTGGGGAAAACTCTTTATTATTGTGTTGTTTAATCTCTAAAGAATTGATACAATATATAGAGGCTAACTTATGTTTAACCTAATTAGAATAGGAAACAGATAAACATGAATAAGTAAATATTCTAAATTTCTTACTCCTTATCATACTTCTAGAATATTCTTCGACTTGGGCTTCACGGGTTCACTTCAATAGCGGACTTTGACGGTCCATAATAGTTAGTCTGCAAGATACACATCTTGCTCCCCAAGATATCTCCAATACTCCCCCGCACGACAAACGTGGTACACACAACGCAAACTTTGCAATCATAAAATGTAACACGTATGTCGTGGACAACTTGTCAAGGGTAGAGCAATCATGTCAACAACTCTTTAGGGTAAAAACTTCAATCTTCAAAATAGGGGTGGAACTTCAGCTCTTCTTTGGTCTTGGTAAAGGGAATAACAACATCCCGTGGGTGCAAATCATGCAAGTCCACAAACAGTTGTCCTAGTCTCAGACAGTTCACAAATCGG